TACGATAGTGTAGTTTCAACTCAACTGAATTATCCTGCCACTTCTTTTGATCTAATGCGGGCTTCGGTGACATTCAGTGATCTTCTTGCAGAATTAGCAAATAATCTGACAGCTCTATCCTGTATTTCAAATAATGAGATGAATAGCTTTATACCATGATACCGTGAACGATTTGTGAATGTATGAGACGATACTAGATACATAGTGAAGTTTGTGCTGGCAAAATTTTTCAATTATCGTACCTAATAGATACATGTTTGTGATTTATCATCATGTTATCATCCATTGTAATTCTGAGTGTCTTAGCTGTTTGAAAGTTAACGAGTTAACGCACGATCGATAAAGAAGTGTAGTTTTGGAATAATATTACAATTGACACAAAATAGGTTGTTTTTGTACCATTGATTTGTTATATTTGGTATCTTTCCTTCTCTTCAGTTGGAAGTTTCAAAAACAGTTTTAGCAACGGTCCCAAAATCGATTCTTGTGGAACTCCATAATTTACAATTTGTTACTGAAAAAAAGCGAATGATTGAAATGGTTGATCCTTTAGACGATAGTGATCTAATACACGGATCAGATTTTTTTTGAAAGACACTTTTATGGAGAAGGAGGTACCTAAATTTTCTTTGAAGTAACTCTTTGATGTGAACTCTCAAATTTTCCCCTTTTTAGAAATCCCAAAAAACACTCCAAGGGACATGATGTTTTGATGAGATTAATCATGTCAAGTTCTCGGTATATTTCACGTCTTCATCAGGACAACTGCAATAATAAGATTATATATATTGTAAAAAATATATAAATATGGAGAACTTACTAACGTGAGAATAAATATAAAATAGTTCAGAAACAGATAGAAAAAAACATGAAATGTTACTGAATAATACTCGGATTACTAGATCTTTTATTTTCTTTATCATATTTCAGTAGGTATGTGTAAATTTTGCCAAGACTTTTAATATCAGTTTTTTTATTCATCGAATGTTTTTCGTGATTGATATGTATCATTTCCAAAAATATTCTTTTNAATATAAATAATACATACTGATAATAAAATCATATCTAAAATAAAATCATAGCAGAGTTTCACTGTATAAAGTCCAGAATGTATGCAAGAGTAACCTCCCAAAATATTTATCATATTTAATCATTATTTGAGTTATTTTGTTGAAAGAATATTTCAAATCATCTAAAGGGACAATTTGTTCAGGCCAGTCTCAACTCCCTACACTGTAGGTTAATGGACTGACACCTATTAGAAAGCAACTACATCCCTGGTTAATACCACGAGGGTCGATGGATTATATCCGATAGGTGTCAGTGCAGGATTCTTCATTGTAGTTATTCCTGCATATACTTGCAGATCGGTTTCGAGCTGTTTGGCCACTCGTCAGTGCAAGGTAGTGTCTATCATCAACATTAAGTTGATGATTTCCGATAATTGAAAATCGAATTCCTTTACAGTATCATTCCTCGAACTAGGCTGAAGCGGACAACAAACAACAAGTTTATCATCGCCCCATCTGCCTGTGAACGAGGTAGCCAACCGCATATCCGAAATTTGCACAATTCCCCGTATAAGGAAAGAAAACCTTTCACATATAGTCAGTAGGCATATTTGAAGATTGGCTATAAATCTAAAAATCTAAGAGGATAATTCGTTCAGGCCAGTCTCAACTACCTACACTGTAGGTTAATGAACTGACAACTATCGCCAACAGCGTGTGCAGGAATAACTTCAGTGAAGAATCCTGCACTGACACCTGTTGGATATAACCCAACACCCTCGTGGTATTAGCCAGGGGAGTAGTTGTTTTCTGATATGTGTCAGTCCATTAACCTACAGTGTAGGGAGTTGAGACTGGTCTGAACGAATTGTTCCTTTAGATGATTTGATTTATAGCCAGTCTTCAAGTATGCCCACTGTAAAAAAAAAAGAATATTTTTCGTTCCTTCAGTCAAAACTCTTACTTTTACTTTATGCTCCATTTTTTCTATGAGTAACAATGAAAATCGTATACCACATTTACATTTTTTCTAAATTATCTACGTTAGAACTTTTAAATTGGGGAATCCTTGAAAACAAATGTTATTTCGTGTTATCCGTTATAGCAAAGAATAATTAAACTATTCTCCAAGTTCTCTTTTTGATATATTTCAAGAAAATTTGTACATACCACTATATAGAAAAATTTCAAATACTCAATCCTAGTCTCACTATCAAAATGAAAGTTTGTGTGATCTATGAATCAGTCCCCAATAAAAATATTTGTCTGCTCCTCATTTCTAACTCCATATTGTTGATCTCTATTTTTTATATTAGCAGAATCCTGCAGAATACTCTTCGGCTATTACGGTCATAGCGGTTCAGAAATTCATGTGCCAATTGTGCATCCAAATGATATGCTTCTCTTTGCGGAATATTTTGAAGATAAGATACCTAGTTAGGGAAAAAAATTACAGAATTCAACTTTTTTTTACAGGATTATCCCTCGTGATCATCGGAATATCTGCAGTAGTCTGTATAATAACAACGCTCTCTCTATCAGCTATATGTACCAATGGGGAAGTGAAAGGAGGTGAGTAGGAATGATTTTTCTATGGATATATGACAGCCGATAGGACAAATTTTAAAACTGGTTATTACCAACCTATATAAACACAAATTACCTCATATTTTAATGGTTCGTGAACCTGACCTTGGCATGAATGAATTTGAACAGACAGTAAAATTATGTGTATTGTATCCTACAATGTCACGAGTCTGAAATAAAGCACGCTTTATAAATTGAATATACCTCGAGAGTATATTAATATAGAATGGAGAGAGCTGGCGAAAATAATAATAATATATTTATTGCCATGGGTTTCCTATGAAACATCTATGAATGGATTCCATAGAAAATTTGAATAATATCGTATATTCATGGTAATATTCGAATTGGAGAAAATAGTTAATTTCATCAGTTCATAATCATGATTCCAGATTTTTCAATTGACATAATATTTTCGACAATATTGTTTTTTGAATCCTTTCATTCATTGAAAAATACAAAATATTCAAACCCTCATTCTTCCACCTCACTATTAGATATCCGCAAAAACTGATATTCTTTAAATATCCATTACTTTCTAATATTCAATACAATACTTGATTGTGTAATCATCACCATCAGACGGGTTTCAAATAGATACTATGCAAGGATGATGATAGAAACCAATCTCGACGTGCTATTATTCAATATCCGTTTTGGTATTATCCCGGAAAGTAATTTTTTCTGGTGGGCATCTGCCAACTCTGAGTTATAAATATATTTTCACAGAATAGTTATCTCGCTCCGAAAAAGTCACCCAGTTTTCTTAAAGCTTCCAAATCATTTCACAATTTTCATTATCAAAGGATCAATTCCTTACCTATCACAGATCTCTTCAATACTACTGAAATGAGAAACATATACTCGATACAGATTTTTCAAAATTCGCCATATTTGCTACTGTACTCGCTTCCAGGGCGAGACTTTGCTGGTGTCTTGGTGCAACTCCGAGCAAAAAATGAATGTGATATTATATACAAAAAATTCCACGTTATTTAACAAAATGTATGTACCACTACACATCTTCATTAATGATAATTATTTTGATAATATTTTTTTCAAGAAACAATAATGTATATATTAGGGAATACCTGTTGTAATCAATAAACAACAAAACTTAAGTTATATTAGATCCCTTTTATTTGATTTTCTATTAGGCATGAACAAAATTAGGAGTTTTCGTGAAATAACTTCCTAACGTTTTAGCATTATTGGTAAAGTATTGTAATCAATGATGCCATTGTGATAAACAGATCTTTTCTCACCTGGATGAGCGACAAATCATTTGCTTGCCTTGTTGAATGGTTGTAAGAAGCATGGTTATCGTTAAATTTGAAAAAAGATATTTTGTATTTATAAATAATTCAGGTCAAATCGTCCCTTAGGTTTATAAAGATCTGAAGTGGGTTCACGGTACTCGAGATTGAAAATATTGTCACAAATATCCATTCCTCAATTTATTCAACTAACAATTTATTTGTTTGAATTTAATTGACTCATGCATTTGTTCGACACATTAAAAACGATTGTTTTCAAAATTTGTTCTATTTTAAATGACACTTGATTTAAAATGTTACATGAATAAAATTGTTATTTGAATAAAAAAGANATAACTGTTCGCAACTTTTCATCAAACAAATTAATTCATGTAACATTTTAAATCAAGTGTCATTTAAAATAGAACAAATTTTGGGAACAATCGTTTTTAATGTGTCGAACAAATGCATGAGTCAATTAAATTCAAACAAATCCATTGTTAGTTGAATAAATTGAGGAATGAATATTTGTGACAATAAAAAGTAAAACGGCGTTCCATAAGAATATATGCTTTCGCAGTTCCCCAAATCAAAATCAAATATTGCGATTAAGGGAAAATATAAACTTTTTCTGTATCTAGAATTTTGCGGAAACTAGATATTGGCCTGTTATTCTCCATTTTATCGTTTTTACTCAATCGAATGGATTGAGATAATTTCCAACCCAGTGGAAAATTTTTGTTATTCAAAATTGAATGCCTGAAAAATATGGCGAAATGATTCTGCTCATTCAAGCTATTTGTAATGACAGTTAACAGACTTCAAGATAATCAGCCCCCCAAAAAAATATGGGTTACCCTCAGGGCAGCATACACCAATTTATTTTTCTTTCTTTTTCTTCATTTCATGTTTGAACATTTGCTAAAGAGGTATTGTACTTTCTGTGAACATAAAATTATCAGTAGTTTTAGACATTGCTCATAATTAATACTTAATAACAAATCAAAACAAAGTATATGTCTTAAAAAGTATGTAACATGTATATTTGACACATACTTCCAGAACTATACTGGAAGTAGCGCTATAACTATAGGTTTCTTAGAATCAATCAATCTACTATCATAAAAATACAAATTCTAACACTTTTACTTTCACCTCAAAGATATTCAAGTCTCAACTATTATAATTATTCATGGAACACCTTATCTTACATGTTTTACTTGCGATAACTGTTCTAACCTCATTTTATGGGGCATCCAAATTTTGTGTTTTTCCTTCTATTCTCATCTACTATTATTCCCAGAATCACCCCGAATGACAGACTTCAGGTATGATCCTTTTTAGGAGAAGACAGGGCCGTACTTGTTCACTCACCCTGAGGTTCGTCAGTGTGATGATGTTTTTTTGTACTACTCCTAGTGCCAGAGTATGCCATTTTGAATTACCGATTATAATTGGAGTTAATACATTAGTAATGTTTCCAATTACTAACCGATATGATTGCAAAGGAACTTTGATTAGCAAATATGTTTTATTATATCCACCCAAAACTCTGAATTTTTCACTTGAGTAAATTTGTTTTCCAAATCACAAAACTGTATAATCATCACCACGAACTTTTTAGGAGGCATTTACTACATCATATCGAGATCTCTTGGTCCAGAATTCGGAGCTTCTGTTGGAATTGTATTCGCTTTCGCCAATGCTGTTTCTGCCTCTATGAACACAATAGGGTTTTGTAATTCGCTGAGCGATTTATTGAAACTGTATCATCTCAAAATCATCGATGGTGACGTAAACGATACGAGAATAGTGGGTAAGTCTCGAAATATCAGGAACTTCAATTGAGAACAATCCAAACAAATTGAGAATTTGTTGTTCTGAAATTATTGATCAGTCTAAAAGTATTTTTATTGTCAATTACAAACACTGGAAACATTGTTGAAACAAGTTCTGATTTAATGGAATTTAATGTTTCAGACTTTTTGTACGAGTAGGTAACCATACCCAAATGTATGTGTTTGTAGAACGTTTTAAGACGGTTCGCAAAGTTTTGAATCTCAATTCGATCAGAACTTTGCCAGATACGAGTATAAGAAGTTACAAATNCGCTGGAGGGACTCCTGTCGCGAAACTCGTACTACCTACAGGTCTGAAATTTGTAATGAATACGTCATTTAGTGTTTTCTGTCCCCAATAAAAGTGCAAAAAATTCATTTTTCACAAATAACGAGTAAAATGTATCGTTAAAATTAATGTCCTGGACGCATCCTGGGTTTATTTGCTAGTTTTGCATATAATTTGACGAATTTTCAAAATATCTATTGTCATCAAAATATTCTCACAGCTAGTATGAAAACACACTTTTGAAAAGACAAAAAACGTTCTAGTTTAATTGGGAGCCTAGATATTTTGTTCAAAAATTCTCCACTTCTTTATTTTTGAAATTCTCACGAAGACTAGTGGATTACTTAAACTTTATGATGACATCAAAATTCGCTAAATTGGGGGGCACAAGAGTGAGGATTTTTGTTTGTTTTTGTCATTATATTCGAACATATTTCTATGTTTAAATGATGTTGCCAGTGTTTAAAATGTCAACTATTTCAACACTTCAGGAACATCTGTAGTAGGAAACCAATTCGTATGAGAGAATAGAAATATGATAGCACAATTCAGCCTATTCTACAAAAAAAAGACTAATTGTACCGCATCATGAGAAAGTTCCAACAAAATGGCTATTTGAAAAGGTTTGAAACTAAATAGTGCAACCCTGATAGCGTGGAACATCGAAGAAAGGTTGGAGATTTGTCTCTCTTGTATAGATTCTGTCACGGGAAGTGTTCAAGTGCCTTGGCATATTTGATTCCACCAGAAATACGCGACGAACTGTGGCTGCTCATCGTTTTGAGGTTCAACTCAGTACACCTCGAACTTCACTGTTTGAGAACCCTATCATCTGGAAAATTGCGTTTATGTGGAATGAACTTTCCGAGAACATTTTCCCAAATAGCTTTAATGTTCAGCGATTCAAATCCAATGTGAATCGCTACTTTCACACAGGCACCGCTCTGGGAGTGCTTAAGTATTTTCCTGTATTGCTTGTGTTTTGTCCTTAAAAAAATAGTGAAGGCAAAAAACTGACGAGGAAAAGAAGGTATTAAGCAGATAACAATCTCTCACATTCCATGCTTGCGAAAACGGGAGATCGGAAAGAATCTACTCACGTCAAAACCTATTTTCTAACCAATGCACCATTGGCCGAAGCATAATTTCATGGGAGTCACTAACCAAATGCCTTCCAACCAATATTTATCATATTATCGACATAATGTCTACTCCAAAGCCCAGTTCTTCTACAGGAATAAACACTGGTTCGAAGAAACAATTTATAACGACCCACTGAGTTATCTGAGCATAGTGATACAAAACATTCAGTGTGTAACAACGAAAACTTAACAGAGCCGTTTTTGAATATAAAAAGTAAGATTTTTAAAAAAAGCTCGGATCTAGTAGACACTATGACATTT